GCTCAGTGGTTAAAATGTAGTGTTTCAGGCTAACTCTGCCCACAGTCTGGAGTTCAATCCTGATGGGCTCAAGGTTAACTCAGCCTTCCATTCTTTCCGAGGTCGGTAAAATGAGGACCCAGATTGTTGGGGGCAACATGCTGACATTGTAAACCACTCAGAGAGAGCTGTAAAGCCCCATGGAGCAATATATAAATCAATTATTATTGCTAATTCCTAACCACCAATAAGACCATAAATAAAAGATGATTGAATTCCTTTTCCTGCTCAAGCAAGCAGACATAATACTTCAAGCTGAAATTCTCTGCTCATTCCTGTGGGTTAGCCAAACAGGCTGAAAAAGAAGATTCCTATTCTCTGTGATTTTCCCCCTCTTAAAAATTGCCTATCCATATTAAAGATGGATTAAGTTACACTCAAGCAGAAAATGCATTAGACTTAGAATTACTCCACTACAAAAACTTACTTCAGTAAGGTTGTTAAGGGGTAAATCTTGAAAGGAGATGAAGCTGCCCAATGAAAGGAAATAATATTTTACCACAATCAGTATAAATGAATGCAGGAAGTCCTCAACTTATGACCATAATAGGGAGTGCAACTTCTCTCACAAAGTGATGCACTTGCTAAGTAAGTTTCACCCCACTTTACAACTTTTTTTTTTGCCATGGTCATCAAGCAAATCCAGCTTTCCCCATTGACTTTGCTTGTTGGAAGTCCCCTTAGAACAGGGGTCACCCATCCCCTGGTCCGTGGACCAGTACCGGGCCACGGCATGCCAGCAACCGGTCCGTACAAACAAGGAAAGCCCCATCCTCAGGATGCAGGCAGCACACAAAACCACGTCCTCTCTGGTCCGCGGAAAAACCTCTCTCCACGGAACCGGTCCCTGGTGCTCAAAAGATTGGGGACCTCTGCCTTAGAAGACTGCAAATGGTGATCACGTGACCCTGTGATGCTGCAACCATCATAAATACATGCCAACTGGTGAATGCCCAAATTATGATCACCTCATTGCCCTTTTTTTCACAGCCGCCTTAACTCCAAAGGATTGTTAAATGAATGGTTGTGAGTTGAGGCCTACCTGTACTAGCAGGACTGAACCCCAGGATTCCAGCCTTAACTATGGGTGTTAAAAAGATACTGGTATCTAAATAACATTCTTCTTTTTAACTGTGGCATTTCCAAGTCTGTCAACAAAGGCATGATTTGCTGCCCTTGTGCATTTTATATTTTAAATCATTTAGCCCGTGTGGCACATGCAAATCTGAAATTACGTAATCACAGAATTAGAAGGAACCATAGAGATCATCTGCAGGATTCATTAGAACATCTTCTTTAGCAAAGGAGAACTTACCAAGTACTTTACAATTTGTTCCACTAGCTGATAACTTGTAACAATTAGAAAATTCCTCCCGATGTCTAACCCTAATTTGAATTCCTTCCTTGTAATTTGAACCCATTATACCAATATTGGAAGATGCTGGGACTCTCATAATTTGTCCTAGAGATTCAGGTACCCTACATCCAATTAAGGGGTGCAGGAAAAAGGCATAATTTTTAAGCCACAAACCAAAAAAAGTCTGCTGGTACACAAAACTATTACTAGAGTGGCTGGTTTAAAAAGTCACTTTGTCAACTCCAGCCTGAGCAGGTTAGAATAAAAAAAAGTGGTATTACCCTATTTAAATGATTTTTTTAAAAAAGAGGCCTCAGATATGGGACCCAAGAAACTTGTCCATCTACACTGTTGTCCCAAACAAAGTCTTGTCTGAATCCTGTTCATCATCCCCAAGTGAAAAGTCTTTGGTATCCAAATCAAGGTCTGGGATACAGTTTGTCTCCAATGACAGGCTGTGATCTGGTGAGTTGGCGTCACTTTGTGCACCAAGGACGGGACTCAGTTGCTCCCCTTCAGCCATGTAGGCCAAGAGATTGTCCAGGACTGGACGGCTACGACAAATCTTAGTCAGCAGGCGGCTCCTGTGCCTCAGTTGCGTGATCAAACTGTCTTTTTCCTGGATCACATTTAACAGTTTTTGGGCATGCTGTTCAGAAGACTGCAGCTTTTCCTCCAATATGGCAATTTCCCTTTGGAAGAAAAAAACAGATGGGGGGAAAAAAAAGAACAGGTTACCTGAGGAACCATTTTATCCACCTCACATTGCCCCATCTCACCTGATCAGCCAGAGAAGGTATGTTACGGAATACTGTAGTTAAAGAACTTCAACTGGCTGGGTCTAGGAAAAGAGCCTTCTCTGCTGCTTCCCCCACTGTCTGGAATATCCTTCCCACAGAGGACCCCACTCTCCTGATCTTTCAAGAGTCTGAAGACCTGGCTCTGCCAACTTGCAAAGGGCTCCCAACCGTGGAGGTGGTCAGTGCCTTGAAGCCTCTCCCTCTGCCTTTAAACTTTTTTTTTATCCTTGTTTTACTTGGCTCCCTTCTATTGATATATTGTATCCTCACAGGTAGTCTTCAACTTACGAACACAATAGGGGCAAGAACCCCCATTTTTAAGCAAGGCAGCCATTAAGTGAGTTGCACCCAAATATATGGCCATTTTTGCTGTAGTCATTAAGCAAATCACAGTGATTGTTAGGGGAATCACGTGGTCATTAAACAAATCCAGCTTCCCATTGACTTCACTTGTCGGAAACCAACTAGGAAGGTCAAAAATGGATGATCATGTGACCTCAGGATTCGGCAAGGATCATAAATACATGCCCGAATTCTGGTCATGTGATCACAGAGATGCTGCAACAGTTCTAAGTGTGAAGACCAGTTGGAAGTCACTTTTTTCAACACTGTTGTAACTTTGAACGATTGCTCAACAAATAGTCATTAAGTCAAAGACTATCTATGATTTTTATGTTTTTATACTTTTAACTGTTATACCCACCAGAGTCACTCTGAGAGCAAGCTGAGCAGAATCTAAAAATAAAAAAATATATATGATGGTAGAAAGGACTGGTAAAATTATGTTTAAGTCCTTTTTCCTAAGACAGAGCCACATGTTACAGAGGAAAGTATCCATTGGAATATGATGATCGTATGCAAGATGTTATCAGACAGGCTTGATAGTAGGGAAGCCCTCAGTTGCCTGTATTGTAAACCTGGGAATAATGTATTTGAAAGGATTTCTACCTGCTGCTGAATTTTTCAGCTTGCCTGAAGCACATTGGAACAATTACACAATTGCTATTCAGCAGGAAAAGATGCTGAGAATGCCTTCATATCCACAGCCTGTCCAACCTCAAACTGGCATCTCTTTTCCTATTAATCTGTTCCTGAAGTTCCAGCTGGGATAACTATTTCCTACCATGAAATTTAGTACACACATATTTGGTTTAACAATCCAATTATTTCCTAATCCTGAGAAATAATGACAAATTGTTTAGCAAGATTGAGAGAGGAGAAAAGCCCCCCAGAATATATTATGCAGCAGCCACCAAAAGCTCAGAGGACCCAACTTCATACAGAAAGCCCCACGCCCAAAGAAACTGCAACGGATCTACGTGCCAACGAGTTCTCTACAAAACCTTTTTATTCGTTCACGAATGACAAAGTCACTCTAACGAAGATTCTAGTCCTCCTCGAGGTCAGTACCTGTCCTTGCCCTCCCGAAGCCCGAACACCGCCTGGCGCATCTCGGCATCCTTCCGGATGAGACTCTCAGCCTGGCCGTGCACCGTGCGCTCCGCAGCTGCCAACCGCCGCTCCAACTCTGCAACCCGCCCGTGCAACGCTGCCAAATGCGCGTTAGCCTCGCGGATCTGAACCGGCGTCGGCGGCGAAGATGAAGACATCATGGACGGCAACGACGACGACGCCCGGGGACGCCTCTCCCACCGCCCGCGCATCGTGGCCAATAGGAAGGCAGGTCACACCCCCCCACAAAGAAACCATGCCGCGCCCTTCATTCGGATTGACCAATCAGAAGTGAGGTCACACTAATGGGGTCCTGAGAGAATGACACATGGGTCCACGCCTGCTATTCCAGCCGCTTGACTGAAGCTCTTGTCAGATTTACAGGCTTTAGAGCTCAGTCGGGCCTTTACGACGTCCTGCCCCAACCGCCCCAAGTAGGCGGGCAAGAGGAGGAGAAACAAAGCACGCGCGGCGTTATTCTCCTTTACCGCCCAAGCATCTACCAATGGCAGGGGTAGGCAACCTTGGCTCTTTTATGACTCATGGACTTCAACTCCCAGAATTCCTGAGCCAGCATAGCTGGCTCAGGAATTCTGGGAGTTGAAGTCCATGAGTCATAAAAGAGCCAAGGTTGCCTACCCCTGACCAATGGGAATCATGCGAAGCCACACCCACAAACCAATCCATTATTTTTTTCTGACGGGGACGAGCTACGCCCCCAATAGTCAATGAGGCTGCGCCTACTTTCCCCTATAATCCCGTCCAATCCTTGCAAACCTCGACTTGCCATTGGCCCGTGTATAATTCTAGGCCAAGATCTCGCGAGACCAGACCCTAGTGTCCTTGATGAAATCTCGTGCTACTTGCGCCGGTCGCCGCGGTCGGTGTCAGTCAACATGACCGATTACGGGGAGATTCTGGACGGGACGCACTGTTTCCGTAAGACCTGGCTTGCGGGGCGCCTCGGGGCCCTTACCGGTGAGAACCAAACTGAGGCGGGCCGTTACCGTGGGGCTCCTCGTCCGTGTTTTACTCGGAAGCTACTCCGAGTTAACTGCCGGTCCATCCGGGAATCGTGACAAAAAAGATTCCCCCTCCTTGAACCGCCGTCGCTGTCGAGCTTTTCTGTGGGCTCGTCTACACAGCCTCCCTGTGCCCCGCCTAGAAGGCGCCCTGCGTAATGTCCATTAAGGAGGACCTGCCCTCACAGCATAGCCTCCATCTCGTTCTCAACCCATCCCAGAGGGCGGCTCAGACTGGTCCTAAGCATCCCGGCGGAAAAAGCGCTTTCCCGGATAAGAAAGGGGCTTCCATGCCGAAGCTCTGCATGGTATATGGAGGGAGTTGTTGTTCCAGGCCCGCTGGGTTCCAATTGGCCTGCTGGCAGGACTACCCCTCCCATCCGTTTGCTGGGCTCGGTGGTCCTTGCACAGCAGCTGCCCCAGGAAATGGAGTTCCCTTGATCATCTGTGTCCTTTCTGTATATCTCTGGAAAACTCCTGGAAGAGCAAATGCGGGCACTGGTCATCCCCAACTTACAACAGTTCATTTAATAATAATAATAATGATAAAGTTGGAAGGACCTTGGAGGTCATCTAGTCCAACCCCCTGCTCAGGCAGGAAACCCTACACCATTTCAGACAAATGGCTGTCCAGTCTCTTCTTAAAAACTTCCAGTGTTGGAGCATTCACCGCTTCTGGAGGCAGGTTGTTCCACTGGTTAATTGTTCTAACTGTCAGGAAGTTTCTCCTTAGTTCTAGGTTGCTTCTCTCCTTGA